CGGGGCAGGCGGCAGGCGGGAATCGAACTCATGCGGAAGTGGCTTCAGATTCTCACTGCTGTGCTTTAACCCGCTGCGCCACCAGGGAGGGCCTCTAGCAGTTTTTAACACTGCTTTTATCTCACCTTTTTTCTCTTCTCTTAGGAAACTATCTTCCAAATTTGTAGTGGAAATTTCCCAAAAACTATATATATGGTGGTCAGCACCTTTATCTCTTTCCCCAGAAACATAGACTCAAATCCTGACCGTGTCAATTTGAAGAAATTGACATCTATTTGAAGAAATAGAGTGATATGGAATATATTCTCTATTATATGCTAGATGAGCCATTATCCATCTGTTCATCTGTTTTGTAGGTATTAAATATGTTTCCAAATTTAAACAGTGGAACAATTCTACCTTGGAAATTTGGGGGAAAAAACCTGTGAATTAAATTTAGAGAAGGATTAATATCGTTTAAGGTCAGGATAATTACCAAATCTAAAAGGACAGCTGGTGGTTTCGTTTTCTACTTCAGCTCAGTTTAAGAAGTAGAAGGGTGTTACAATCGTTGCCGAATGTCTTTACCTCCTCCTCATATAGCATGATTTTATATGTGTTCCTATCAAGTAGAAGCTGCAACTAGCCTTTACATACTATTCATTATGAAGCTATTTATATCAGCCTTTAAAGATTCAGTCTATGTGGACATAGGTATTTTTTTCTATGTTAAAATCCTTTGTCAATGTCTGTAGCAGCTGTTAGTAATAACACTTATTGTACAGTTAAGTGTATTGCCTGCCTGGCTGGTGTGTTTTCTAACTTAAGGGTTTTTGGTTGTTTTACAATTCATTTATTTATTTTTGTGTAGAAGAACTGGAGTGTAGGCCGAGGTGCAGGGCGAGGTGAAAGGATTCACCAGAGTCAGAATGGGAAGCAGAACAAGCAGATCTATTGAAATACACTACTGAGGGGAGCAGCAGGCAAGATTGGAGAGTTCTGCTGTGCCATATGGGTCAGTTCCCTGGCCAGGATCCAACTCTTAGTGGTGATTTTGCTGAGACGTTTTAACGCCTAGACCACCAGGGAGATCCTTTATGCCCCCCCCCCCTTAGCCTGATAAAGTAATGTAAACAAAACTTTAATAATAAATGGTCCAATAGTTGGAAATATAGGAAAGAGTATTAAATGAAAGTTTTCTCATCTTTGTCTCCCATCTGCTTGTTTTCCAATCCTCTGTGCACCCATTCCTGTTATTAATTTTTTTTAATTTATTTATTTATGCATACATATCTGGGGTATAGGCCAGAGGTGCAGGAGTGGTGAAAGGATTCACCAGAGACAAAAGTGGGGAGAAGAACAGGCAGAGTGATGAAGTATACTGCTGAGGGAAGCAGTGGGCAAGACAGGAGAAGTCTGCTGCGCCATATGGGTCACCTCTCTGACCAGGTATCAAACTGGTGCTGAGCTTTAATCAGCTACACCACCAGGGTGGGGCCCTGTTACTAATATGTATATGTCTTCTGAGTTTTAATTCATATTAAGTAGCTGTGACTATATAACTTTATAATACAAGTGATATCCCTTTTTTTTTTTTTTAAGATTTATTTTCATTTATTTATGTATATAAGAACTGGAGTATAGGCTGAGGTGCAGGGTGGGGAAAGAGGATTCGCCAGAGACAGAGTAGGGAGTAGAACAGGCAGGTCCACTTAAATACACTGCTGAGGGAACAGCAGTGAGGCAGAAGAGGTCTGCTGTGCCATGTAAGGATCAAACTCAGATTGCAGTGGCTGGTGATACCTCAATAGTGCTGAGATTTTAACCTCGGCGCCACTGGAAAGAGGCCTCTTTTTCTTACTATATCTCAAAAATATTTCCAGATTAGCTTCTGTATTGAGATTCACATGTAATTACAAGAAATAATAAAGGTCAAGTGAACCTTAACTAAGAATCCCCATGAGGATGACGTTTTTCCTGTCTGTAATACAGTATCACAAGCAGGTCATTGACATTGATGCAGTCCTCCGTCTCATAATCTTTCATTGTGAATCTTCCAGTGAATTTTTTAAAAATAGAATTTGAATATTAGTATTAAATGCCAGTGCCATATACCCTACTTAGATTGATGCTCAATTTCAAAAAAAAAAAAAGGAGAAAATAAAGGTTATTGTATCACTGACTAGTTACACAAAAATATCAGGTTGTTTTTTTCCTTTTTGAGGGCTAATCCTAAAGGAGGTCAGCTGGAAGGAATGCAGATAACTGATTTGGAAAATAATTCTGAAACTGGGGAATTACAGCCTATACTACCTGAAGGAGCTTCAGCTGCCCCTGAGGAAGGTAAGGAATTGATTAAGTCATAATTAGGCAGAAGGCGGGTATACCATTCTATTTTTTATATTAGTAGTGAATAATGGTTGGTTTAATAAAAATTACTGCGATGTTATCTACTATCTGACATGCTTGGTCTGAACACAGCATTCATTGTTCTCTGAATTTGATTTACTTTTAAGCACTGAGGAAGCCAAAGTGGATAATTACCTTATAAAAGGACAAGTCCTACTAAATGTAGTATTTACAAGTATTGGGAAGCAGGGAATTCACCTGCTCTTTTAATTAAATAATGAAGTCACTTATATGCCAGGCCACATGAATTTTTGCTAAATATGCAAAGATGAATTAGATATGTTCGGAGTCTTATGGGGGAAGATGTGCCCTAAAACAGCTAATTAGGATATTAAGTACTTTGTAGTCAGTCTTGATTAATGTTGATAGATCGCTTTGCTATTTTAAAACACTCCAAGCTTTAACCACTTAAAATTCCATTATGGTAATTGATTTCAGCTCTGCCACATCACTGTCAGTCACATTTCTAGTATTGCTTCTACATATTCTTCCAGTTCCATTATTTAAAAATACATGCTACTCGAGCCCTCCCTGGTGGCTCAGCGGGTTAAAGCACAGCACTAAGAAGCTAAAGCCACTACCGCATGAGTTCAAATCCCACCTGCCCCGGAGGTGACCACATGGCGCAGGCAGACCTCTCCTGACCCACCCACTGCTCCCTTTAGCAGTGTACTTTGTTAATTTGTCTGTTCTGCTTCCCACTCTGTCTTTGGTGAATCCTCTCACCCACCACATCTCTGGCCTGTACCCCAGTTCCATATGAATAAATAAATAAATCTTTAAAAAAAAATACATGCTATTCTATAATTTTGAGTAACAGAAGATACCTTGAAAAAAGATGTTTGCCCTTTCTATGTTTCCTTATTTTCCCTCTTAGTTGCTTTATTTCAGTAGGAGAGATTAATTGGAAAGGGTTTTTAAAGTGACTCATTGATTGTTAAAACACTAAAAAAGAAATGTCGTGGTTGAGGATCTTTATAGAAAGGCTCTGTAGGGATTAGTTCACATGTATTTACATATACTACTGACAAGTTGTTACAAAGAATAGAAAGTTTTATGAATGAAATAAGTCCTTAAGTTGGCATTTTCAATATAAAGATTCTATGGAGTGCTAACCACCTTGCAAGACATCTAAATATTAACATTTGAAAACTACCCAAAAATGTCCACAACATTTTTCAGCTTTTGATTATTTAACTATAGGCTACATTACTTATAAAGAATAGAAATTAATTTTTAAAAAGACACATGGATAGCTTAAAAATATCAGAATTTAAAGAATATTTTATTATATTTTGAATTTTAGAGAATTCCAATTCCTTGTGAATCCTAAAGCTTAATCTCAGTCAAGAATTCATAGATTAGTAACAAACGGTGCAATTTGTGCCTAGGCTTTTCAAGAACTTAGATGGGGTTTTGTTTTCAGTAACAGTTCCACAAAGAGCCACAAGGTGGAGATGGCGCTTCCCCAGAGTTGTTGGGCTTAGTGAATAATGGTTCCCTTTTCAATTTTTAGAGCTGGAAAAGTTTTTTTCTTTGCTGAAGATGATGATTTCAGAAATGTCCATGTATCCAGCTTATGTGTCCTAAATATTTAAAAGGGCAATTTATACTGTACAAACTCTTGCTATAACAGAAGGAATTCCAATTCACAATTTAAACCACCTGGTGCTACAGTTTGTCAGAAGTTTAAATACAAACTCTTTCTTAAAGAGTTAAGATATCTATTCAGATTAATTTTATCTGAATGGGTTTTGGTAAATTTCTGTCTGTCAAAGAAATTTTCCATATCTCTATTCATCAACATAAAGTTGCTTATGTTATTTACTTATTATTACCCTTTTAAGGTAATAATAGAATCTGCTGTAATGTCCCCTCTTCCGTTCCTGATGTTGGTGTATATTTTTTTTTTCTTAATTGTCCTAGCATATTCTAATTTTATCATTTTCAGAGAACTTCCTTTTTGTTTTGTTTTTTTTTTGTTTCCCTGTCAATTTTGTTTTATTTGTCTTTTATTATTTCCTCTTCTTTGTTTATTTGCTCTCTATATGTTTAAGAAAATATTCTTTTCTCATTTTAGCATCAAGTACTTTAAATTTCCCTGTAACTACTGTAGTAATCATAACCCAAACCTTTTGATAATTTCACGCTTTTATTTTTATTCCATTCAGAATGTTTTCCATTTATTCTCAAAAGTTCGTAGCTGTTTTCTCTTAATATATTATCTCTTCTTTGTTAGTTTTACTGTCTCTGTGGCAGTGGTATATGACACAAGTTGAATCATTCTCTGTTATCTCCTTGTTTTTTCTTTATGGTTCAGATTATATTTTTTAAAAGTCCTTTTTTATTTATTAGCTTTTCAGTGACTTTAAATCTTTGAGGAGTGCAAACATCACATGGATTCTGTGTCCTTTGGCATTAGCAGGAATACTGCTCTCGAATTTGCCACTCACCATGGCATTCTCCATGAGTACATATTCTTCCCCAAATTACCTGATCTTACTTTGCCACCAGGATTCACTTTGGCATTCTTTGCTTTGTACAAACAAAGACATCTTTTTCCTAGATAGAATTGCTTCATCTCAAGCACAAACATCTCCAAATTTAAGAAAAGCTATGTGGTCCCTCTGGTTCTAGAGACTGTGCTTTTAGCCAGCAAAAGTAGCCTTGGCCCACAGCCGGCCGTCCAGCCATATTTTAGAAGTCCTATTCCCATTGGGCCTCCATAGACTACTGAATGGTGAAAAAGAGATGTAATTTAATCTTTGTTTACAGGATACTGCAAGATATGAAATTCCATGTGGAAATCTAATGAGGAAAAACTTCACACAAGTGTGTAGAGTTTGGAACTGTTTGAGCATAGCTTTGCTATAAAAAGTACTAATGTTAACAGTCCACATTTAAGCAGAGTTCTTAGTAGAAAAACAGTAAGACAAACTTAGACCACACATTATACTCAACAGCTTTATAGCTCAGCTGTATAGTCTAGAAGTTAAAGGCCCTAAGAGTGTCATCTTGAATTTGGGATGTATACAAAACATTTTCCCAATGGCTTGAGTAACTTGGAGCAGGCTTTGACAGTGTCATCAACAGGCCTTTTTATTGTACCCTGGTTGTTTGGTTCCTGCAGTAAAGAAGTAGCATCATCAGGAAGTAAGCATACATTTCTCCTTTTCAGCATCCAGTTGTCTTCATTTGCTTTCCTTAGCTCCACACTTAACTTCTGTTCAGTGGAGTTCTTTCTAGTTCACGTCTATATTGACTTTACCCTTGTGCTTGAATCCCTGGAGGCAGATAGTTGATCAGTTAGTATTCTCATTGGTAGACATGGTAGTGAGACAAAAGGAGAGAGCTGTAAAGCTGATTTGGGCTTCCACAGCAGGCAGTGCAGGGTCACAGGCTGTGGTTCCAGTCCCTTCAAAATGTCCACCTCAGTTCAGGCCCCAGATGGTGTGATTCATCTGTCCCCTTGTTGCTTAAGCTTTTTCTAAAATTTCAACTCAGTTTCCATAGTTCTGCCTTTATGCTAGCCACAGGCCCTCCCTGGTGGCGCAACATGTTAGGACGCAGCACTGCACACTAGCTGCAGCTGCTGCAGTGCGAGTTCAATC